GGCCGAGCCCGCGGCCCCCGCAGGCACCGGGGCGGGGCCGGGCACACCCGGGGCAGCGCCCGCGCCCCGCGCGGGGAGGGAGGCCGGCCCTGCCCGGGCCCCTGCCCTGGGGGCGGAGGGCCGCGGAAGCCTTTGCCTCCTCCCCCGGCCCTGGCAGCCACAGGAGGAGCAGGCGGCGGTCGGAGTAGCGGCTCCGCGGCCCCAGCCCTGCCCCAGTCGCCGCCGCCGCCCCGAGATGCCGCCCGCCGTGCCGCTGCTGCTGCCGCCGCTGCTGCTGCTGGCGGCCGCGCGTCCCGCCGCCCCCCCGCACAGGTACCGCGCTCCGCTGTGCCCTCCCTTCGTGCCCCGCAGTCGCGTTCCATGCCCGTGACTGCATCAAGGCAGGAGCGTTTCCCACGGAACGCGGGACTCTGCGGGAGCAGCCGGTGCCGGGCGGGCTGTAACCTCTCTAACTTAACAGTGTAATAGGGTGAGGCATGAGGTGTCTAAAGCTCGGCAGGGCGGTCGCTCACCCTCTGTCCTCAGCAGTAGCAGTGGTTCCGTACAGCTTTTCCAGGGTTTCTCGCGTGTCCGTGCAGCGTGTCCGGAGCCGGCACCAGCACCTGAGCTGAGCCCTGAGCACGGCTGGGCCACAGGGCTCAGCACCGGGAGCGGCGCTCAGCGCGGGGCGGGTTGTGCTATTGAGGTACAAAAAAGTACCAGAGACTTCCTTGATTAAAACGTATAAATTCAAAGCACAGAAAGGAATGAGAAATAATTTTTATATCAGTGCTATTTTAACTACTATTATATGTACTATAAAAAGTCATTGCTAATGCCTTTTTATAATTATTTTTCCATTATAATAACAATTTACAATGATATATCACATTGGCACACCACTGCTCTTAGGAAGTAAAAAAGGAGGGAGAGATAACAGTCTGTGCTGACCTAAAATTAAGGCCTAAGTAGTTAATTTTTTCTACACCTAAGTTCGCACGTTAAATTGCATATTCTATGTCAATAGTGATTTTATGCAAATGATTAAACATATTCCATGGTAGCAATGGCTTTAAATATTTAAGCTGTTGAGACAGTTTGTGCCTGTTATACAAAGGATAAATTATTTTTTTTCTATTATTCTCAGGCCTACATTTACATGTGGAGGAGTTGTATCTGGAGAGTCAGGGTTTATTGGGAGTGAAGGATTTCCAGGCGTCTACCCACCAAACAGCAAATGTACTTGGAAAATCACCGTAAGAATTTTTAATACTACAAAATCAGTGCTGAAGACAATGAACAGCTATTTGTTGTTAAGCAGTGTTTTACGTGGGGTAACATATGTGCAATAATGGACTCAGTAACTCAAAGTAGCTCAACTATCTGGAGCTTTTTAGGGTTGATGTAATATGATAATAGTGACTGAAACAGAATTGGCCTTGCCTCATATCAGAAGCAAATTTTCATTGACTTACTTGACGCACCTCTAATTGTTTTAAATTAACCGACTTATAAGCAACCATCTCCACTTCTGTCACTGTGGAAAGCAGTAGTGAGTTCTGTCAAAGAAAAGATTTGAGGTGGCACGTATGAAAAGCAAAATTTCTTGGCAAGAAGACATATTAAAAAAGTTTAAATCAAACCCAAAAAAAATTCAGGCAGGTTTGCTTGAAGTGTGCTGCTAGCAGCGTTCTGCCAGCCAGGACATCTGGAGTCTGTCATAGAGCAGGCTGACAGCAGTAGGGAAGTGTTGTTACATTTATAAATGACTATGTGAAATGGAACCATGTGGTACAATTGATATTTTGATGCTGAAATGAGACTGTAGGGCAGAGATATCATATTCATGGACAACAGATTCCATGAAACAACTAGGACTAAATACTCCTGTTCTGGATATCCTTATCCACAGACTCAGAGAAGCAGATGTAAGTGAATGATTACTCTTCGTCACATCTGCACAAATTAAACCCTCTGAAACTGCCCACCAAATTTCCTCTCCTTTTTAGATACAGTTCACCAAGAACTCTTCTGACATTTGGGCCTACAGAAAAAATAAGAAAGCATAAAAAAATAACTTAGTCTGTGTGTTGACAGGATCACTAAAGACAACTTCAGCTGAAAGACTGCATCACAGGCTAGGTGTTGGAGGAGAATAGGATGTCACAGGATAATTGTTTCCTGCTACTATAGAGATGCTGACGCAAAGCAGGAGGCATTGATCTGTTTACAATGTTCAGTTTAAAACAACTCTCGCAGCAAATGAGTGATGTGCTTTTAATCGTTTTATCTGAAAGATCCCAGTGAAGCTGCAGAGTTGCTTTCTGCACCTTTCTGTTGCATTATTATTGGGGCCTAGTTAGAGGTTACCTTTGATCCGTGTCTGCCCTCATCCAGAAGAGGATGTGAAACATGGTGCATGCCCATAAAGCTGCTTCCTTGCTGTCCAGGGGCTGAGGTGACAGCAATCGGCATGGCCCACCTTGCAATCTGAAGAGCAGATGCAAATTGCATTTGGAATCATACACACATGCTTAAATAAAATGGAAAATTATACAAAATTAGTTTACCAGCATAACTCAGTATTAGATGTTCAAAAGTTCAAAATTGAATCTGGAGGGAGATAATAATTTTGCTTATAACAGCATGAAATTTTTACCACTAAAAAACTAATAAATGGAGGCAGCACTAAAGAAGCAATTACTGAATCATGCCATGTATCTGCCCTTCATATATGGGAGGTAGAGGGAGAAGAGAACAAATTATGGTACTTAGAAAGTCCATACACAGTGATTTAATTGCAGGCTTTATGTGGCTGTTGCTAACAAGATGCCAACATCCAGGTGAA